GGGGCGGGGGAGGGGCGGGGTTGCTTAGAAAGGTCTCTCTTTCTTTTCCTTAGTCTATAGTTCCTGCTTTTGAGTTATCTTTCTTCCTGAATTTCCATGGTCAGAGTTCATTCCAAGTCAGCTTCGCCCGTGTATCAATCTCTTTTCCAATATCTCTACTGGGAGTTTGCTTCTTGACTTATATGAATGTTATTTGTCAGCAGTGCAACATTACACAGGGAAGTTAAAACACCATTAGGGCAGTGCCTTTGTTTTAGTCACTATCATATGCCTAATACCTGCCACATCCTAACCGTTCAAATGATTATTTGTTGAATGGTTGAAAGAACGGAATGTAAGGCATAATTAGCTGTGAACTCTATTTTTAGACTAATTATTAGAATATGCTTCCTGATAGTGTATAAATATTTCCTTATGACTTTATCCCTTGATCTTTAATCAAAATAGGCCATGTCTAGTTGCTCTTTCTCATGACAGTACTTCAAACATTTAAAGAGCACAACCATTTTTTTTCCTAAGTTTTCTCACCCCAGATTTCAAGAAATAAGCAAGGTCCCTTTATAGACAGTGAGCAATGAGAGCTACATACCATTTCTTGTCTAGGGTATTTAAGTTTATTTCCCACGTGCTCTCCCTACTTGAAGACTCTGACCCACCCTTCTAAAAGGCAATTCTAATTTTGCCACACTCCCTTGCTTTTTTAACCCTTCAGAGGTCTCTGATCACCTTCAGGATTACTTCCAGTTTCTTTGCACAGAAGAAGACCCTTCACAATCTGATCTCTAAATATCATGCCACATACCCARGTACACAGCCTCCTGGCAGGTCCTTGTGGGAAATAGTCTACCTTTGCTTATGCATGGAACACACTGCCTTAAACATTAAAACAGTACTAGTTCCTGTGACTGTTTCAAGAGATTACCATAAATTTAGCTGGCTTAAGAAACACATATTTAATATCTCAGGGTGCTGTTTGTCACAAGTCTAAAATGGATTGACAAAGCTGCATTCCTTCCAGAGGACCTAGGAAAGAACCCATTCCCTTTCCTTTTCTGGCTTCTAGAAGCTGCCCACATGCCCCAGCTTTGTCATTTTGCTCTTCCAACTCTTTCTCTGACCCCCTGTCTCCTAACCAGATAATCCAGAATAATCACCCCATATTAAGATCTGTAGTTTAATCATATCTGCAAAGACCTTTTTGCCATGTGAGGTAATACAACCACAAATTTCCAAAATTAGGACATGATATCTTTGGTGAACCATTATTCTGTTTGCCACACATCCCCTGCTCTTGATTCCCTCTTTCCCTAAGAACCAGAGGAGTTATGTGCTCCTTTACATGTGGTTCTATTGTAACACATTTTATGCAAGGTGTATGCCTACATGCTAGTGCTTTGAATTGTATAATAAATTTTCTGCTCTGCATGTTCTGCAATTTCAAGTTACTTTGAAAATTTTTGTGACTTGTTCTTCTAAATGTGCCCTGTGTCTAGCAGAATTCATGGAACAAAACAAATCATTGATATTTGTTGGCAAATTAAGTTATCTGTTTGAAACTCATAGCAACTCTGAAGGGACTGTTATTCTCCCCAGTTTTCCTATTCGCACTGACTGTACCTTCAACCAAACATCACTAGAAATATAGCTAGATAGGTTGTGTTTCCGCCTTATTGAAGTAAATACAAACACATATCTTGAGAAATCATTATGTCTCCACAAGACAATATGATATGGTTTGGATATAGTTTGTCCCCTCCAAAACTCATGTTGAAAATTTTTTCCCAGTTTAAGAGTGTTGAGAGGTGGTAGGAATTTTGGAAGGAATTTGGATCATGARGGTTCTGTCCTCACAAAGGTATTAATGCTGCTTTCTAGGTTAATTCTTAATAAAGTGAATTCTCACTGTCCTTAGAACTTACTTATTTACTGCCAGAACAGGTTGGTTTTTTGTTTGTTTGTTTGTTTGTTTGTTTGTTTGTTTTTGGTGGTGCAAATGTGGTTTTATTTGGGGCCCAATGAAAAAGTTTTACTTCTAGTCTCACTCATGTTGTTGGAATAATTCAGTTCCTTGCAGTTGTAGGGCTTAAGATAGCAGCTTCTTGTTGGCTTTTGGCAAGAGGCCACTATAAGTTTCTAGATGTTGTTCAAAATTCTTTGGTACATGGGCTTCTCAGGATAGACGGTTTTCAACATGGTAGCTTGCTTCTTCAAAGCCATTAGAGAGAGAGAGAGAGAGAAACTCCAGAAAAAGCAGGTACTATTATCTTAGGTTYATAATCATGGACACATAATCAGATACATCCTGTGATTTTTGCAGTATTCTATTAATCAGAAGGAAGTCATAGGTCACTCCAGGGAAGTGCATGACCTATGGGAATGAACATCAAGAGGCAAGGACCATTTGGGGCACACCTTACAGTCTGTCCACTGCGGTTGAGGAGAGTATAAAGGAAATACAGCATAGCCTCCAGGGGCTGGTGACTTTCATTTAATATAGTTATCAAATTTCCCACTGTTCCTCACAATTCTGCCATTAGGAACATTTCACTGTCCACTTCTTTCTCCGTGGCTCTTCACTCATGCCATTTTAGCTAGATTTTGTGCAGTCAACTCTATGGGCCTCTGTCCTCTTCCTGGACTGCAGAACAGGTTGTTTTAAAATGGTGCCACCCCCTATGTTTTGTCTCTTTTGCATGTATCCGCTTGCACTTCTGCTTTTACACCACGTTATGACACAGCATGAAACCCTTATCACATCTAACCACTCTTCCAGCCTCTAGAACCATGACTCACAATAAACCATTATTTTTAATAAATTATCTGATCTCAGGAATTATGTTGTAGCAACAGAAAACAGACTAATCCAGGGCATATGAACAAGCCCATTTTAGGATATGGGCTTCGGTTGAGGGATTTGGGGAAGGTCTAAGGAAGCAAAGGTTTGCTCTAGATTAGATGCTGTCAGGAAATAGGGGCAATTTTCTGACCATGTATCTCAATAAATCTTATTTATTGGAAGTGAGGCAGAAAGATAAAATTGTAATTAGCAAAGAAGTAGCAGTCACTCATTTTGACAAAGAACGCAAATATTTGGTATTTTGTGAGTAGCATAGCAGACTTGTTTATAATCTATGCTTAAATGAGATTATGAAATGGTTTTGCTTTGTCTCAACATGGTTTCAGAATAATCTTGTGTAAAATTGTTTATATCTAATAGAAAAATGTGGCCTAGCTCTGATCGCCAGGCCAGCTTCTAAATGTCAAGGCTGCTCTTCTGTTCCTAACACATTCCTTCAATGTTTATTTGATTTGGCTCTTGGTACCACATTGCCAGGCTTGTTAAGCTGTGGGCATACAACAGTAAACAACACAAATTTGATGTCTTCCTCATCGTGCTCATGTTTTAGGATGAGGCTAATATTCCAGAAGAGTAGATAATTTGCTCAAAGATCTGTAGTAAACAAATGAGAGAACTGGCACCTGACCTGCAGTTCTCCATATCCATACCCTTCCACTCCAGGCTGTCTTTTAAGGCTCAGGCCATCTATTCCTATCCATGGAATTTTGGTAAATGAAATATTTATGCAGTTCCACAAATGTGTACAAATATTATGTGTAAATTAAATATTTAAAATATATATTTTAAAATGCCATGCAACAGAAAACATGTATATGTTTGTCTCCATCTCCCAATCCCTACTACTAAGATCTCCAGATGTCAGAATTAAGTGCTGGATTTTAATTATCTCTGCCACAGGCATAGGATGAACTTGCTATTATTGGTCTCAGAATGGGGATAATGTTAGCAAATTATCTCCCCTTAAAACCTCACTTTGCATTTTTGGTTTAATTTTCAAATCTCACCTGAAAAAAAGGGGGGGGGGTTGCCTGTCCCATAGCCTTTGCACTCAGGATATCTGACCTAATTCAAATCTATACTTTAATATATTTTTACAAACTTAGATTCTGTGTTCTTGACCTAGGTGTAAAAATGGAATTCCCCAAAGGACTAGATAATATGGCCTCCTAGCAAGCTTTACGTTCATTTTCCATATTCATTATCTATTAATTCATCACAGATATTTTAGAACAGGATCTATATGATCTCTTTCTCAACCAATTAAGGTCAATATAAACCTGTATTTTTATGTCTTTTGTTTTATATTACAGCATAACTTCCTTAGAGATAGATTGAATGACTTTTTCTAAAAGCAGAGTTCTATTAATTTTAAGTATCCTCAACACCTACCAAGTAGTATATATGTGTATATATCAGTTAATCAAGTGAGATTCTATGCAGAACTTTTAAATGCATAGTGTGATTTTTTTCACACCATCAAATATTATAGCACATTTGAGGATATCATTTTGACATGGAAGATTAGTGAAGGGAGGTCTATTGTGATATGCCCAAGAATCAACATCTGTGGAGGGAAAGGAACAGAAGCACAATTGGACAGAGACAGGAGTTCTGCTGCCCTGAAGTCTGGTGGAGGCCTCAGCCAACCCCATGGAGATATCTCAAGTTGCTTGACCATTAAGAGTTTTCAGGAGAAGACTGGCCTTTGTTCATGAATGAGTCATTAGATGTGACTGCCCCAGGAAAGGGACATGACCTTTATGACATTTCTCTTTTCAGCCAAGGCAATCTCAGCAGTGGATATGGCTTTCTGCCAGCAGCACTCCCTGAAGTACAGAAATAAGCCCTT